GCTCTTGATGGAATTCAGAACTGTAGATAGTTTTTAATCCTTAATGTCCCAGTCGAAATTAGCCTTTGTTTTCCATACTTCTCAGTTAGTTGTTTTTCAGTTCTCATTCGATCGGTACAGTTTGGATTATACACAGATGGATACGAAATTCCCCTTTTAACATACGCACACACAGTAGTAGGGAAGCACTTGAGGTATCTAGGCGAGGCGATTCTCAGCTCCCAACCCTGCAATTTAACAACACTCACTCATCTTTCAGCCTACCCTCTGTTCAGTGTTTTCCAGTTCAGCCCCTGCAAGACATCTGTTTTCCTTGAAAATATGAAATATGAAATTACAGTGCTGCTAAAGCACTGTCCTTCAGAAAGGTTGCCCCTAGAGTTCTCTACTTCAGGGCTTCAGTACAACAAAGGAGTTTTTTGTTGTTTTTTTTTTTGAGTCAGCAGTAGTAGCAACAGCCAGTCAAGTTCTAAAATATATATTTAAGATCCAAATAAAAGGCTTATCTGGAACACAGACAGAACTCCCTCATCATTCTTCTTGCAGAGGTTCTGACTACCATGAACAAAAAACATGCAATAGTTTAACTGAAAATAAAGTAGAACTATGCCAGAAGTAAATCATTCCTACAAAAGAATAAGCATCATAGTTTCACAATAAAACTACATCTACTAAATGTGAGAAGTTATTATACCCAGTGTTCTCCCACAGTACATCACACACACGGGCTTTCTACATGAAATCTTCAAGACAATATTAGAGCAAAAGGCTATTTGTTACAATAAAAGGTAACAGTGGGAAAGTGTCAGTCACAGTACACATCAGCCGCAGTAGGAGGGCAAGACTGCTTACTCGCTACATGTTCTGTTGAGATTTATCATAGAAATTTGTATATCTTAGCAACACAAAATACCTAAAATTTAATAGCTTTGTAACACATAATTGAAGAATCTAAGCAATGTAAAAATGTAGCATGTAAGCATTGCTTTTTGATTTTTGTTTAGTATTTTAATAATTAATTTTTAATTCTTAAGGAAATAAGTAAATACTAGATACAAACTATGAAATTTATGATGTCAAAAATCAGAAAAGCAACAGAAATTGGTAAATCATTAGAAGATAGTAGCACAGGCTTTAAAAATTTTTCTAATTTAGAAAATTACAGTGTATACCTAAAGCCAGCTCCCAGATTAGGAAACAGACATTAGAAATACAAACATGCTCTTAAATAAAATTTTTAAAACCCACAAAAAAAACCACAAACCAACAAGAAAAATAAAACAAACACCAAAATCCAAAACCCCAGATACCTGACAGCACTTGCATACAAAATATCATAGGCTTCTCTGAAAGACACATTTAAATGACAACTACAACACGCTATTTACAAAACACTGCACAGAACATGGCATATTCCAAAATTACTGTATTTGAAATTGCTGCTTTATGGAGTCAATCTAACTTCCTTGAAAAATTCAGAATGTATGAATAAAATACTGATTTCTCTGTCATGTAACAGCAGTTCATGTAGGGCTTTTTATAGTTTTGTGCACTATAGCTCTTTCGAAAAAGTCACAATACTTGTATGTAATTATGCTAGCTTAGATCCAAAACATCTTCCTAATGAAATGTATTATCTAATGTATGTTTTGTACATTTCTAGGTTCTTTAAATGTGATGTTATCTTTTGCAATAAAATGAGATATTTTTCTTAGGTTTCAGGAGTCAATAACAAACAACATCTAGATTACAAGGGAAGTGAACAATTGTTCTTTGGAAAAGCAAAATGAATGGGAAATTAATAAATAGGCTTTTCATGGAATCATTCTGTAGCTTTTCTAGGTAGAGAAAGGATTTTCATTTGAATTTGAATACTGAATAAAAAAGCTGTAACTTTTAGCTAGACTGTGTGTATGTTTGAATATATCCTATTTTCAAACCACTGCAGCTCTGCAAAATGGTTTCTCTGGTCATTAATTCCCCAAGAAGTATTGTTTTTTGCAGAAGTATGCGATCTAGAGTAGCTTTGGTTAACAGAGCACACTCTTTACTTTTCAACAAAGTCTTTATTTGTCCAATATCTTACATAAATATTGCCTAAAAACGTTTCTGTATAACGTAACTACACTCTTTTCATCATGCCAAACCAATCCTGTGAACGAAACCAAGTCTGGGAGTACCAAAGGAAAGCTGTATAACGTATATGGCCAATTTGTGATATTTTTGTTTACCTAACGAAGCCAATTTCAAAAACAAGTACTTCTGTAGTCTACATGCTTCTGTACATTGTACTTCTACAATTACCACAGTAGGACTCCACTGCATCACGACGTCTTTTAACTAAAAGTCTAAATCTCATAAAGTATTCAAGATACAGCTTGAATACCCATTACAGCCAATAAACTTGTGTCTCTATTACAAGTTTAGAAGCACTTTCACCATTACAAACAGTCGAGGCTTTTTTTTTTTAATAGTGAAAATAATCAGGCAGCTGTTAGAGCCTTCAACTGCCAAAACATCACAATGAATGAGCAGCATTTAAGTAAGTCTTCTCCACAGTAGTTGCAGAAAGCCAAATTGCTTTTCTAGCACCAACATCTCATCCTGAAGGAAGTATCTCCTCCTTAACCTGACTCTGTCTAGTAATTAAATGAACGAAGCTCACAGCATGCTGTTACCAGCTAATCACAAGGCAGCACCTTCCCTTAGATTCAACTGGCCTCCTAGCAAGAAAACAAAAAAGCAACTGTAAACCAAAATCCACTTAACTGCTTGTCTGCCAGCAAGCCAGAAGATAGTGAGAAGGACACCTGAATATGGAATTGAAGCTGCTTATCACTGCCAGAAAGCAAAAAAATTCAAGTAAATAAAAAAATCAGTACTCTGTCACGCACAAGACATTTAAACTAGCAAAGAACTACAGGTCTTGTAAAGAGCAACCACTAGTTTTTGTTAGTATAACACAGCACTAGCATCGTTTTTCACACCATATTCTAATTAGAATATTTGACAGCAGAAGATAACAAAAATATTTGCAATATTTAGAAACATAGTAACAGATTTAAGAATCTAGAGAGTAACTTTCTGTTCTCCTGGAAGTAAATAACCAATTTGACATGTCACTCGTATCAGGTACACAGTCTGACTGCAGCTACTCTCTCTGTCCCACCTGTACTCTGAGAGTTCACCATACTTGTAGCAACTGTAGCTCACCTAAGCATTCTGCACATGGCCATCATTTCTGACCATCTGCTTCGTTTTTAAAAGATCAAGCATTCAGGCTTTCAACAATCTTGGCCCTCTCAAGAGATTTTAAAGCAAACCTGGAAATTAACTGAGTGAACTAAAGGCAGTAAACAGAGAATGAAACAAGCTTATTTTGCCCGTCTTCTAAATGCAAAGGACTCTTTTCTTCATTACAATTTCTTCATGTCCTATGTAAAAGACTAATCTGTTGAGAGCCCTTGTCTCAGCTCCAGGAAACTTATTGGAATTCTACTTTGAAAAACCTTTAAAAAGCCCAATATACACATATGCATAGGTGCTTATGAGCAGTATTAGCATTCAGATATCTGCATCTCAAAATTCACACTGGATTTAATCTTTTTTGGTAAAAAACAGCTGAACAAGTTACAACAGATGAGAGGGAAAAAAAGAAAAACAAGTAGATTTTCCAAGACATTTCAATTGACTGCAACCAGCTTCTTAATGGTTTCCTAATGTTCACTAATAATAAGGATCTTTTTTGCAGGATTACTAGTTTCATTTTCCTTCTTCATTTACTGTTTATGGTATCCAGAAATACTCCTTAATAGACTGATTACATCATCTTTGACACTCATATGATGCTTTCTGTGCCAGTACAGAAAACATTTTCAAATACTGTAGAGAATGGAAAGGTTCACTGGGTTGTCGTTCAAAATCTCTTCCTGTGCCGGAGGGTTGTGCACAGACCAGACTGGAGTTCTGGCAAATGGTTAATGATACGATTTCTGAAACTTGCAGATGTATCACCAGAGAGTCTGAAGCAACCATTGGCAAATATCTCCTCTGAAGAACTCAGTTATTAGGAGACTAATCATTAAGAGACACATGCTCCGACTGGAAATGATCTAAAACTATTATTTTAGGTTTTGAATAGAAATGAACAAGGAAACCAAGTACATTTTAAAAGACACACAATGTACCTCTTGTAGCCAAAACAAGAACTAAATTCTGCTCATGATTTTGCAGAATAGTGTAAATCTCTGAAGACTAACAATAAATATACATCATCTCTTAAATGCACAGTTCTTAAGGGCAAGTTCCATAATTCCCACTGAACGCAACTGTCTTGCATTCTCACAAATAGTCTAAATCAAGAGGACTAATCATGACATACATAATTAAATCTAAATAAATTGCATAATCTGTCACTGAATATAACTCTCAAACCATGGAATTCCCCACAAAAATCTCAGGGAGTGCATCCCCAGATATTTTCCCTGTGCGCACAGGGAACCATCTTCTCCCTCCAGAAACAGAACCAGAAACAGCAGCTGTTCCATAGCAACTCTAACCCACCTACAAGTAAAGCACATGGAAAAACTGGGCGAAACAGAGCATCCATCAACTATGTTTATAAGCTATTCAGAATAGGTATTTTTTTCCCATTTTACTCAGTCATTTCCACTTTAGATTAGTAGAAACACTATCTTCAATGTGTTACAGTGTGCCTTCTATGCGGGTTTGTAAAATATTCTTCTTTTTGCTAACAGCAATTAACTCCAAATGTAGTATTTGTTTTTTTACAAAATGCACAAATCTCACAGCATTCAGCTACACTTCAGAAGACACTACAGTGGTACAGTTGAGTGAAAAAAGAGTAAAGCTTTACACCTTTTATTTTAAATCTAAAAAAGTCTACAAACAAGGACTCCATAAATACTATCTTTGCATTTTTTCAGGGTAACTATAAAATTACTTTGAAAGCATTAGAAATACATTAAAATATTACTCACAATTAAGGGATCATCTCGTCCCATTGTAATAACGGTTCTGTTCACTGAGCGTAATAACTGTACCATTACTTCTTGAATATGGTCATAAGTTGATGCCTGTAAACGGAAAAAAAAGTTTTTCCTATTAAATCTCTCTCTCTCTTGTAAAAGAAAGAAGAAACCAATCATTTCCATGTCAACAGCTCAAGCTGTATAATACAACCACCCTACTGGAAGAATGACACTAATTCTCCTTGCTCACACTGCTTCTTAGTTCCAGCAATTTCAGTGGAATAATCATTTCAAGTGGCACAGTCCAATTTTAGCCCTATCTATCCCATACCGGTTTTTGTTTCAAATAGTCACTTCAGAAAAACCTCTGAGATAAAATGGCACTTTCTTCCAGTAAAACATAAACATGCTTTGCCACACAGCAGAGCAAAGTCTTCAGGCTTACGCAAAGTTGTAATCAGAAAGACACTTTTCATTAAAAGAGCAACAACCAGAATCTTTTGGCCTCTATGCTGCAGAAGCAGCATCTCTGTGTTCTCCTCGTGAAAGTACTGGCACAGTTGACCTCACAGAAAGAAAAGGAAAATGGAGCCTTTCACTGGATTGCTGAACAGCAGCAGCCCTTGGCACCAGAGTATCTTCACTCTGGGGGTGTTTTATAAGACAGCTAGAAACCAAGACATCATTTGAAACATTCTTTGTAAAACACGTCATTTTATTGGACTAAAAAGCTACACAAGCCACTCCTACCATCAAGTATTTCTCTTTCCAAGACTGTACTCATGTATTACAGATGCATTTAACTGTACCACAGATTCTTCACTACTGTTTCACCATAGAGTAGTTGCTGCACCCTGCTTGAAACTGAGAACACAGTACAGAGCAAAATAGGAGAGAAATACAGAGTAGGATGGCATCTCATAAGAAGCCAGAAAAAGGAAAACAAGCAGACAGTTGTTGACAGCATGAGGAAGAGGGGACAAAGACTCAAAAAAGATGAGCCAATCATAGAAATGCCATCAACGTTCTTGAAATAGCATAATTTCTTGGACTAGGAAGCATCCTGAAGAGCTCCCTCTTATCCACTGCCTCCAGGACCTGAAATGCAACACATTTCAAATCCTACTCTTCTACTGGAAACACTAGTGAAAACTACCGGAAAAAATATATTCCCTTCAAGTATTGTCTTTATTAGAGTTTGGACATTCTCTACTTAACAAATACAGCTTACACAGTGAAAAAAGGAGGAAACAGCAATATTGAGTACACAGACACGGAACTGCTTGGTAGCCTTACAATGAAAACCATCTGCCTGCTACAGATGTTCAGCAGGATTTTGTGTTTCTGGGAAAGGCTTCCTATTTGTTCTCTGAACTTGAATGCTTTCCGTAATCACTAGCATTACTGTAATGTCAAATGTAACTTTCAGGAAATAATTAGTTTTAGATAAACTACACTAGGTAAGTTTTTGATACATCTTCAGAATATACTGTTGATGAATGTTGTTTTATTTACAGACGTCTACACAGCTTTTCTGTCTCGCTTTCAAACCTTTTTTGTATATTCTTCTTTAACTTTGACTATAGCAATATATTTTATGATTATGCACTTCTTTGCAAAAACCAGTTTGCCATCTCTTATTCCAGAATATTGCACTTATTAAGTAATTTCAAGGTTTGCTTTGAAGTGTAGAACATTTGTTACCCTTATGTATCAGGGTACCAGTCAAAATTCAGCATTTTCTTTCAAACAAGCTGTCTTGACTGTCGAAAGAACATATCCTAGGACAGTAGAGGACCTATGGCAAGACAACTGCCATAAAATATGTGATTTTATCAAGCTATCAGTTAACACAGCCGTAAAGGAAAGGTGAAGCAACATGGAGTACAACACATTTATACAGCTATACACCTCATCTCTGAATTTTTCATTTCTTATTTACATGAATTGGAAAATACAAACATGAAATTGAGAAACTGCATTATAAATTAAATGGATGGGTGGATGATCTACTTGAGGATATGGTTTAACGGGGATTAGGGATAGTTGGACTCGATGATCTCTAAGGTCTTTTCCAACCTAGAAATCTATGAATCTAGGAATCTATGAAATATAGCAATTATGTATATAACTTTATCTTAATCATAAACCAAGCCCCTTCAAGTTATATCGCTACGCCAACATCAGCAATTTGGTTCAGAACAATTTTGAGGCAAATCCGGTGTCACTTCTATTTACCATGTACCGCTCTGAGTGGTTTTGTTGCACACTAACTGGATTAATTCCAGATAGAGATAAACTAGAAGCTCCTTGACAGTGCTAGAAGTGAAGGCATTAAGCTCTTGATCAATGTTTGGGTCACACCAATATAAGGTCCTCTGGTGTGTTCCTGAACTGTTTGCCTTCAGAAAGCTGAGCCATATGCACAATGGAGATGTTGGAACCCCAGTATCAGACCGGATCTTACTCACTGCAAACTCCCCAAACCATGTACAACAGATTCATCAGGAGCCCCACAACAAATCACATCAATCTAGTGGCACACTCATGCTGTGACACATTCCTTGCTAAGGCAGACATTACCATTACTACACAGCCAAGAAAAAAAAAAAAGCACAATTAAAGGGGAAGCCACATTAAACAAAGTAAACACGGTATAGAGGTTTTTTTGTTTTGCTGATATTTCTTAATATTAATTTGAAGGCATGCAAAGTTACCTGCTATAGTAGTGGCTACCTTCTAACAACGGTCTCTAAAAGCACCAAAACTCACAGCATGTAGTTTGCAGAGAGTATTCTCTTTTCACCCAGGAAAAATACTATGGCTCACTGGAAGAACCACAACATCTAAATAGCTTTCTGGTTAGAACTCTGCCCATGAAGCCACCATACTAAATGTAGAGATAAAAACTGGCATCTCAGCTGGAATTTTTATCTGCGCTGCTGCAATAAATATTCTATGATTTGGCCTCTGTTATAATTCAAGATATATTCATTAATCATAGCTGTTCTTATAATACTGATTACCACTACAATTAAAAAAAAAAAATCAACAGCCAAAAACTGTAAACTATGTAGTAGCACTTTGTACGCTTTCCTCGGGCATGGGAAAGTCACTTGTTCCTTAGTTTGCACTTAAAAAAAAAAAAAAATCCAAGATGAGGGCTCCACTTCTTTCCACATGTCAGTACGTGCCATACCACTATCAGCGACAGTTCAGAATATTACATAATCATTTTTAACATTTCGCCATGACTCCGTTATTGAAGATGAGCTCTACTCTGAATTCACATGCAGCACATAACATACCTTTTCTGGCAAAAATATAATACATGCTCAAGCATGCAAATGTTCTTTTCTGCTAAGCCTTTGAATTTTCAGAGAAAGGTCAGCAAATGAAGTAAAATGGTTTCTTTATGAAACTAAGACTACCTTTCTTCTTGATAATCTAAGAACAATCAAGCAGTCAATACTGACATTGCTCACTTAACAAAAATAGTGTTTTCACACATGGCCTATACACAAGATCTCAGCTTTTATTTCAACTAACAGTTTCCAGCTTCAGAAGACAGTCTAGCAACCCACTCTAACATGCATTTTCTTAGATCATATTTCACTTCACAAAGATGACATACGGGTTTTAGTGAAACCTGGAAAACCGATCATTTGGCTGCAGTCCATTTGGTTAAATATAAGACTTTTCAGAAGCTAAATTAACAACTTGTACCATATATAAATGTTCCCTTGGAAAACATGAATTGTACTATTCCATTTAATAGAACATGATCATCAAAAATGTATGCTTGTCTTCACTGTTGAAAAAGATTTGCTAGGTGATGCTCTCCTATGCATCCAGTTCTATAACTTCATGTTCTCCCTCTGACATACAGACAAAAAAGAGCATACATAAAAAAATAAAGATTTTAATTTATTTTTTTTAAATCACCTAGTTCATAATCATGCATTGTTCTGACAGAAAATTGTCTGCAGAGGAACTTAAAGTAACTGGCCCTAAAAGAGCATGCAGGGTCCCTGATTAAATTACTTCGAAATTCTCTTTTGCTAAAGTCTTACAATCTGCCATAAGTTAGGCCAATGCTTTAGAAATTTCTGTACAATTCTAAAATGCTTCCAGACTTGTTTGCTAATATAATCAACAGCTGAAAATTCAGCTGCAGATTATAAATCTCTGTTCCACTTGTAGTCTAAGATTTTATTTTAGATTCCAAGAGAGTTTATAATCACATTTAATCATGTAAGCACTATAATAAAAACTTGCTATGATACAGTAAATATTAAACTATAGGATGTATATCAGATTCAAGATAAAGTCACCTTATGAAGGGCTGTCAGAGGGCACACAATGTTGTTGTAAGGGGGAAAAGGGAAGGTTTTTTTAATTAAAACGGAAACAAAAAGTCAGATTTCACCACAACCTTCGTCAATGTCTGACTTGCAGTTTTGAGCTTTAACTGTATTTCACAGGTGCTGAAAGCTATGAAGCTGATTTCAGACATGATTCAGTCAAAGCAATGTGATCTATGTCCAAAAGTTGTTTGGTGTAGAGGCAATTTAAAATCAAACATAAGCATCTCACCCAGATGCCTAACAATGACTGTCCATTCATAAAAGTGAAGTCCTTCCCATAAACCAGTGTTCTTAATGTACTTGCTACCTGCAGAACCCAGCAGCTAGACAGCAGTTGAAGAGAACAGTGTTTGAACACAAGGATCTGGTGATTCATATGCTCCCACTCGCCAGACAATGTAGGGCAAAACAGTAGAGCAGAGCTGGTAATATCACAATACCTTTTTTTTTGAACAAAGAAAATATATTCTTCAAAAACTCTGTAACCACAGTATCAATTTTGACCACACAAAATATAAAACAACTACTGCTGCTTCTTTTCTGTTCTTTGTGTATATTCTACTTCTGGTGATTTTCACAGAACAAATTCAACGCAAAAATATCAAAGTTACATTTACAAAATGTTATACATACTAATCAAAACCCAGTTTTCTCTATTGAGATGGAAAAACAGAAGAAATATGGATGAGATGTCAGTGTTCTCAAGACAGAGTTAAGTTTACAATTAATTTTGTAAAGAGTGTTTGCCACTAATTCCCGAAGTTTTCTCCTCCCGCAGGTCAAGTCATCCATTTTCCTATAAAGATGCTAAGAGATACAGGAAATTAACTGTTCAACAGAAAATTGCATTAATCTTAAGGTTCAAGTGCAATCCCACAAGAAATCATTTGGTTAATTACCAAAACAATTCTCTGTATCTAGATCACACTGCCTAAAGGCATTCTGAAGGAGACCAACTAAATAACATAATAATCTAACCATACAGCAAACCTTTTCCATTTGTGTGTTTGACGACAGGACACGGAAAACTCTATCTTTGAAACAAGATTTTTTCACTTCAGCTGGAAAGTAAACATCTATTTTTGCACTCAAGAGAAATCTGCACTGTCTTTTAAAGACAAATTACTGCCTGGTGCCTCAGATACTGCTGTACTGAAGGTGTTCCCTTCCTTTGCTCTTTTTTTCTCCTTCAGATAAGTCATCTCTGAAGTCATGTCATCTCTTTAGCACTAAAGCAGGACCAGTGTTCAGCATAGCTAAAAACCTGAGACCGTGACCCACAGATTCTCTGTCAAAGAAAGAAAATACTCATACTGATAGTCACACATTTGCTGTTGCAGTTAAAAAAAAAAAATCTCATATTTAATGACATATACCTTAATAGAATATATTCTAACATTCATATTGTCTCTGCTCAGCAATGGTACTACCAGAAGGCACACTAGGGTATGTATTTTTCTCCACAGAAGCATCTGGTTCTTTTGTTGATGTCCCAACTATTCTACAATGTTTCTTACACTCATGAATATGATGCCTCCAGAGGGGTAAAAGCACAGAACGTGTTACACGCTTTTAAACAACATCATTCTACAAATACTACAAAATTTTCATTGGATTTTTAAAAGACTGAAATCCAAACCTGTGAAGAGTACAATCACTCAAACCACTGGAATCCAGCTGTGTTTAAACATACACATCATACTGATCAGTGGGG